TAATTGGTACAACTAGGGGATATCTCTTAAAGGTAAATACTCGCTGCTACAGTGCCGAAGGTCGTGGTGAAAAAGTGTTTGAACGCAGAATTTTTTGTGGGCCGCAGGATAGGTGCTCCTATAATTCAGGATTATTTCGCCATTAGAGTCTTTCCTTTGGACGATGATTTTGGGATATACATCACTAAATCTTTTCATCCTGAAATCGAGAAACGGGACGATGTCTTCTTTTACTTCTTCGCGAGGAAATTGTATTGCGGCGAAGACGACATTAAGACTTTGATGTAGTCGTTCCACTTCGCAGTTTCTTATAACAACGAAGGTAGCATCTATGTAGCGGAGCCATATTTTTGGTCTGAGCGATTCAAAACACCGCTTCCTCTAGTCCTTGTTAAACTAGTTCGGCAAGTAGTCCCGATATTGGTGAACCCATGAGGGTGCTCTTCGTTTGCTGGCAAAACTTATCATTTAATTGACGATAGTTCTTAAACTAGACCCCAAACATGTCTAAAGAGTGCTGTGTTGGAATGTTAATGGGAGTTTTGTCTTGGCGCCGAAGGTTGACGTGTAATACGGTCCCGTATTCCTTGGTTAATTATAGTTTGGTACACGACTGAGGCCCTAATTTGCGTCCCTGTGGATGCTCGCCTACGTGGCTACACAATGATCAAGCATGGTGACTTAACTTGCACATGAGACATGGGGCAGCAAATTTTGCTTTTGATAAGGATTTCATTAGAGTCATGCGTAGCAATATAAGGCATACACTATAGGTTTGCATTTTATGGGAAACCGGCGAAAAATGTAATTCTTCCAATAATTAGAATTTCAGTGTTCGTCGTAAGGACCCTCGACAACAGATTTACGATCCCTGTTGAAGTCTTTTGGTTTGTATCAGATTTCTGGGAAATTGTTGTGAATTTTTCGACTAATATGTCGCTCTTATTTTGCCTTTCGAGTTCTGATGCAATGCCGATAGTGGCGCTCAGAGATTCAAATAATCCAAAGGGTATTTTGTCTCGGCTCCATAGAAGACTGCAATTCTCGAAGACGGGAATGGGCATCCAATACTCCTTGATTAACGTTCATCTGACCACTAACGCGGCTCATCTCTCCCGCTTTGCCTTGGGTTTCCCTGATATTATAGACAGATTGTATTGTCGAAAATGAAAAAGGAGACTGGAATGGCCATTTCTGGCTTATTAGCCGTCGTCAGCCAATCATATCCTGATCCAAGCGGTGTCTCACTCGAGCCTAGAACTTGTGACCTTTTTGATTAGAGACAAACACCCTAACCATTAAGCCACGAGCTCGTTGTCGAGCTGCTTCAGGTCAGAGGTTACTGATACTGGTAAAGAAGACAAATGATCGAGCACTGGAACGAAATGTTTTTTTTCCTGAGCTTTCGAGCTTCTGCAGGAGCCCATCGTCAGAGGTGGAGAAACAGCAACAAATGGGGTAGCTACTTGGGGCGTGTACAATAACTAAAATTTTGAACGTGTAGAAAATCAATAATTGTGTGTTTGTGCCGCCGACTTGCCACTGAGCGCCGTGCTAGCCTGTGCCAGTAGGCAAGATCAACATGTTGGGTGGAAATATTTACAAAAATGGAATCGTCAACAAAAAACAAGCAATAGTTATAGGGGGGAATGGGCAATTAAAAAGGCATAGGAGAAGGGAAGAAGGATGAAAGGAGAGGGATTGTGTAGGCTCGGGCGCCAAATGGCCACATCAGCACCGAAAGTGGGGTGAGTATGGAGGATTTTTGGCCAATTAATTACGGCAGGCGTCTGGATGTGATCGTTTGCAATAGCGTAAG